TCGTGGATCACAGCTACTCACCGGGCTGAAAGTGTCTCGGCCCAGACTGCCTTTGCTGTTCAGACTGCCGATCTCCGTCTGTGAGCTGGACTGTGACATGCCCTCGAAGAACGGCCTGAACAAACAGCCACATAAGAAAACTGTATTCAAATTTTGTTTTTTTAATATCTCTCCGTTAGTGACTCCGAAAACAAAACCATACTTATTCGTTCATTATCCAAAGTAGGAACCAAACCTTAATGACCGAGAAACAACAACAACAACACACAACTAGGAGAAGCTCATCAGTAACTTAGGAGTCATGTGACTGTTATTTTAATACTAAAGCGCCTTCGCTTTGTGTCACAACACTAACTTCACCACTTATAAAAGCTGATTTAGACACTTAGGTGTTCATAAAACTAACAAAATTGATAAGACAACAATTAGTAAGACAAAGTGAGTCTGTGGTACTGAATGAGCCAACACAGCAGCAGGTCTGGGTTTACGTGTTATGACCGTGTCCGTGCTGTTACCTTAGTTTAGGTTTGGGTGTGCTGAGGATGCTGTCGGTCTCCTCCATCTCCGGCCCACTGTCACTGGGATTGTACATCTCCAGACTGTCGTAGAGCTCGTCCAGGTCCTCCTCCACCTCCTGGATCTGCTCCCTGGACACGTGCTCCAGACCAAAACCAACCTGGATGAGACACATAGGAGACAAAATAACCAACTGACACCTGGAGAGAGTAGAAGACACACTGGCCATGGCTTTGATACCCTGCAGTTCAGCAATCTATTCACTTATATTATTAACTACTACACAGGAGAGATGTGTTGATCCCAAAAGAAATACTGAACACACCTTACTGCAAGTTTATCCTGCTGACATCAAAACACAAAGCTCTGCAAGTCTGAGAGGTCACATATGAAGTAAAGTCAAAGTGAAAGAAGAGAGATGCCTCCATGACAGCAACCCTGAGGTCAGGCTGTTCTGTTAGCTGCTGCTTCTGTTGATAAAGAACGACCCCAGATGCAGAAGTGTGAGCAGCGCGAGATCAAACACACACATTCGGTTGACGGAGTCATTCCAGAAGCACATAAACACATTAAACACAGACACGTTTCTGTTCTATTTTAATCTACAATGCGTTTGGTTTTCAGCACGCAGCTGAAGCTCAGTTGTTGTGCCACATCTGTCCCACACGTCTCTCTGCATCCTCAAGCCTGAACTAATACATGTTCAGAAACATGTGTGAAGCGACTACAATCTGAACCTTGCACATGAAGTGGACATGGACACGGCGCATACCTCGTCAATGACTTTGAACCTTTTCAGCAGGGCAACAAACTTCTGCTTGATGTTGGGTTGCTGCAGAGAAAGAAAATGGGAAAAACAATGAGGACGACACGAGACACTCGGGACGGATGTTCACGTTTCTGTGAGTGAGGTGATGTTAGCAAAGTATAACGTATTATTTCTGGCTCACACTTTTTCTGCAGGTGGTGTAACAGTGAGAGCCGCTTCATAAAAAAAAAAAAGAGGCCTCATGTGACCAAACACACCAGCATACTGCATGAGACGCAGCTCGTGGAGGAGAGATTATTGAAAAATGTGGTGAAATCTCCCCGTTGGTTTAAAACTCCCATTACTGTCACTAAAATCGGAGCCCTCCACACATCTTAATATGACTTACAACTGTGTCATATTAACATAATTACAGTACAAACTAGGTGCTGTTACGCCGTATACTATGTGACAACACAAATTTATCAGCAATTGCAATCTTGGGACTGTTTACACCACGGTAGCAATCCCCTTAACATCTTGGGTGTAATGGGCCCATTGTGAGCGATGAACAGGACAGATTTATGTCCAGATCGGATTCATACATAATTTGTGGATCGCTGTGATGAGGTACTTTGATTTGTTAGATGATTTTCATTTGCTGCATTAGTCAAAAAGCCAGACGTTTCTGTCTGGTTATTTAATCCATTAAGCAGCTTCTGAATCGATCCAGAGAACCAACTTGTCACAACATACTACAACACTGGTATATTACAACCCTGGGGAAAATGACAAATATCATGACCTCATCCGTTTTCATGGTGCTTACACATGTAGCCGATGAAACTGACCTTTACTCGTTTTTCTGGCAGATACAAAGTTTGTCAGGCTGAATGATCCGTTCTAATTTCTTATTGTTTCTTAATGTGCAGGAAAAAACGTGGACGTAAAACGTGTGTAAAAAAAATAATAATTTTGAATAAATCCCAGGACATTAGGTTTTTATTTGGTTATTAAAATGACAGAAAAACATATATAAAAAGATATTAAAATAAACTTTGCAGCGCGAACACTGCAGTATAATGGTTTATTTTTTAGAAATATTAAAAGGGGCTCTGGTGGATAATCACAAGCTCATTTCTCTCCAGTTTTTCTCTTCATTTTCTATCTGAGATCTACAGCTTCTTACTAAGGGAAGAGATGAGACAATGTTTTAAACAATCCCCTGAGTGTTTTTGGTCCAAATCTGTAACGATGAGCAAAGCAACGGGGGTGGATGTCTGTGTGGCTGTAGTGTTCTGGAGCTCGCGTGCCAATTTGCTTCTGGAAAGTGGAAGACGTTTGACTTCATGCTGGATTCTGGGGATGTAAATGTTTTTGTATATGTGTGTGTGTGTGTGCACGCTTGGCAGTTGGTCTGTTCTGAGTGTGTAATTGTGTTCAACAAATAGGTGTTGTTCAACTGCAGCAGTGCAGAAGTCACAGGCGGTGATGTTGGGGAACAGGAGTGACAGTCTCACTGAGACCTCTACTGAGGAGCGCCATTAATAACCTGCTGACACACACTCCTGCTGACAAACACACACACACACACACACAATCCAAATAGGCTGCTTTCCTTCTCTCAAATTGCAGGTCCATTGTTACCTACAATCTGGTGTTAATCTTTTTTCTATATTTGTGCTGAGTGTTCGTGTATGTCTGTGTGTGCGTGTCCATGCATCACAGGATGTGGTGAGTGTCACTGTGGCCGCTTGTGGTGAGCTGTCTCAATGTTTTCCTCCCAGATATTCGTCCTGAACATGCATCGAGAAAGAGAGGGAGAAAATGGATTTATAGAAAAACCGAGGGAGGGAGGGGAGTAGAGCAGCAGAGGTGGAATGAGGTGAGGCAGGAGGCAGCAGAGGGGGAGGGTTGAGGAGTCCAGTCAAATCTAATTTATGTGGCTATTCATGAAGCGGGTTTGCTGCAAAATGCTTTCTGGACAAAACAAGCAGGGAGAGAGAGATGGAGCGGATGGACGAACAAGATGAGGCGAGGGGGGCGGTTTTCTTACTCTGGTGATGGCAGCGTTGGACGGCAGCTTACGTCTCGGCTTCTTCTTCCTCACCTCCTCTTCCTCATCATAGAGGTCCTAAGAGTGGAGGGGACACAGGAGGAGGAAATCATGATAAAGTGACACAGAGCGGAAAGAGGAACCCAACAGAATGCACCCAGCTGCTTTACTAACTACGAAGACAAAAGAACGACCACGTTTCTGAGCCGTTTCTAAGACTTCAGTAGAAAACAAGAGCCACACATGGGTTAGGGAAAAGTAAAAGCACAGAGTTAGAGACTAAACTGTTATTTTTGATCTTTTCATCAATTTGTTAACAATAAAGAAAAAAGTAAAAACACCAGCCTTTTCCTTTAACTTCATAGTTGTGGACATTGTTACGGTCAATCACCTTGTATCCTAAGCTGATTAGGTTAGAGTAACCGTGACTGCTATATTAATTGTTCATTGCAGCCATTGTCATACAGCACACCTGTCCAGGAATGGGGTCATCGCTGCCCTCCTGTTCGGACGAGTAGCTCTCCTCCTCTTCTTCAGAGTAGTTGTCGATGTCTGGAGAACGATCTGAGGATACAGACACAAGAGAAGAACTGAAGGATACGGACACGCCGACACAGGGAGGAGGGACAAACACAGAAGGAGTTAAGATGATGGGAGGATTCTCACCAGACATCTTGGCTTTGGGTCCCTCGTGGTCGATGGGCTGGCTGGACAGGGAGTAGACTCTGACCTCAGCGACGGGCACCGAGGCATCCTTCAGCTGGCTGTGGAGCCCCAGGACCTGAGCCCCCTCGCTGGGGTGCTGCATCACCTGGAGGAAGGAAGACAGATCAGAGTGGGTCAGATCACAATACTGCAAGTTCACGTAAACCTCATTAGGGTATAGTGTTCAAACTGTTTTTCCATCCAGCCAAGTAGCATCTGCAGAAAACCATGTAAGAATAGTCACATGGGGGCAGCACAAAGACAAATGAGATATTGTTTCTGTCCACATGGCACTTTCAGAAGATTTGTTTATTTTGTTGAGTCCAAAGAAAGGAAACAATATCATGCAACGCTGCCTTTAAAACCAGGATAAAAGAAAGCACAGTAAGGTACATCATCAGGGAGCATCCTGGATGGTGTCTGGAATCACATGATATGTTCACTATCACACGATAATGAAACGAGGAGGAAAAAGGGGAGGCTGAAGAAAACAAACAAAAGCAGCAGTCGGAGAGAAACCACAGATGAAACGTGAATATGTGAGGCGGCAAAGACCATCACGCCTCCTGTGTGTGTGTGTGTGTGTTTCTAAATGGTGACATCCAGCCTATGTCGGCAGTCTGGTCACACTCCCAGAGTTAATGAAGTCTGTGCAGCCTATTACGGAGACAGCACCACACTGAATAGAGACATTGCTGATATACTTTCCATTCATTTGGCTGAGGATTAGCCAACCTGCGTCAGATGCTGTACACGATGCTGGCACCACCATCATAATGTGCATATTTATTGAGAAACACTGAAGAGTTAAACTACTGCATTAAATCATGTCATGCATTATCTTGAACAGCATGCACGGACTTTTCTTCTAAAACACATTTATCACACTGATAATCACAGCGTTACGTGTTCTGGGTGCCAGAGAAGCTGAAGCCTGAACATGACGTCGCATATTAAGTTTTGTTAGGTAAAGAATTTAATGTGTTTGTTAAAAATAATGAGTACAACTTTTTCTCTTGTGGCAACAGAAGCTTCTGAAAGTCCCAATAAAATGAAAAGTTATTTCTTCGTCTTGTTGGCCAGACGTCGCAGAAACAAAAAAAAGCACATGCACGGCGAACAGATTTTAAACTGTCACACTGATTTAATCTCACTTCATTTTACGCCTTGTAAAATAAAAGATCTTTAGTGGTGACATCATGGTGCACTTAAAAATAACAACTAACAATAATATCAGATCATTAAGCCTCCTCCTCGACCACTGACATCACATAAAACAACAGATCTGTTGTGGAGTCTATATATTTACAGCGCTTTAAAGCCAGACTATGTCTATTGCTGTGTAATGTCAAGCTCATATACTATAATACTTTTGTATTATTTTAAGTAATGTTTTGAATGCAGGATTTATACTTGTTAACGAGCATTTTTACACTGTGGTACTGATACTTTTACTTAAGTAAACAGTCTGAGTACTTCTTCCACCACAGGTTTTGCTGCTACACCCTTAGTTTGGGACGACCAGTAACTTATTAACTTAACTCGGAGTGTACCAGACACCCTGGACCCCCTGCAGTATGCCTACCGGCCCAACAGGGCCACCTCAGACGCCATCGCGGCTGCACTCCACTATTCCCTTTCTCACCTGGAAAATGGAGACTCCTACATCAGGATACTCTTCATTGACTACAGCTCCGCCTTCAACACAGTTGTCCCCCACAAACTCACCCACAAACTGTCCACACTAGGTCTGGCACCCCCCCTTGACTTTCTGACTGGCAGGCCCCAGACTGTCAGGATTGGCAATAGGACTTCAGCCAGCATTGTTACAAACACTGGCACCCCACAGGGATGTGTCCTCAGTCCCATCCTCTACACCCTGTTCACCCACGACTGTGTGGCCTCCCACAAAGACAACATCATCCTGAAGTTCATGGACGACACCTCAGTGATAGGTCGCATCACTGGCAGGGACGAAGCAGCCTGCAGGAAGGAGGTGGCCGGTCTGGTGTCATGGTGCAAGGACAATAATCTCAGCCTCAACACGGACAAGACGAAGGAGATGATAGTGGACATGAGGAAGGAGAGGAGATCTCATTGGCCACTGTTCATC